TGGGTGACAGAGGGAGACTCCGTCTCAAAAAAAAAAAAAAAAAAAAGTCTTACCTAGTAAATCCACTGCCTAACCTCCTTGAAGACAGTTTCTATTAATTTCCTTTTTCCTGTCAATGAGTCACTTCATTGTTTATTTCCATGCCTCATTATTTCTTGTTAAAAACTGGACATATTAAATATTATGTAGCAACTACGGAAATCAAATTGTTCTCCACCCTCGCCAATACCCAGAGGTTGGTTGATGTTGCCTATTGTGGATTTATTGTTGTGTGTGTGTGTGTGTGTGTGTGTGTGTGTGTGTGTGTGTGTGTGTTTAGTGACTTTTACAAACTCTTTTTATAAAGTCTGTATTCTTCATCACATGTGGTCACTTTGAATCTATGTTCTGTTAGCTTAGTGACCAACTAGCATATTGACAGTTTTTTTTTTTTTTTTTTTTTAAAGACCTGGAGCAAAAATAAATGGGAAAAGAGAGATAATACACTCCTAGTCTTTGCAGATTGGCTCTGCATTAGGACACTCCTCAAAGTTTGGCCAGACCATTCACAACTCTGCCTCAGTCTTCACTTCCTGCTTACTCAGAGCCAGAAGAGACAGCTTAGGGTTTCTGTTGGCCTCTTCTGGGCATGTGCCCAGCTCTGGGCATGTGTATGACCTTCTTCATTTCCCGGTATATATGGCAGCTTTTTAAAAAGCTCTTTTTCCCCAAGTATCTCTTTTCTAATGTCTTCCTTCTCAGGCTTTTCAGTCTCACTACCGATTGTCTCAACTGTTGTCCCTTGCTCCAGGCCACTGCAGACAATAACTGTGCCTTTAAATGCTTTTGGCAAAAGCCACCCCAGCTGTGGGAATAGTCCCAGTCAAAAGATACAAAGGTAGGCCCCTATGTTGGTCCAGGGAGCAGCTAGCCAGGTTAAAACCCACAAACACAATTCTTTGCTCGTTCTAACGTTAGCAACCTGCACTAGGAGTGTGGGCTTCTATCATCATGGTCACCACTGATCTGGGTGTGGAGGCTAGTAGGTAGGCAATTTAAAATGCCACAGCACTCTCAATCAACTCTGTAGAGCTCTGGAATACAGTAAAAACCTTACACCAACCAGGGAAACGACTGGAGAAGAATAAGGCAACA